ATGGAGGAAGAACCTATTCCCAACTGCCTTTCATTTCAGTGGCCAGAACTAGCTATAAGGCCCAGATCTAACTAGAGGAGGGCTGGGAAACTCAGAGAAACAATTGAACGTCTTTGCAACACTGATCGTTTACCTCCAAGCAAGAAGCGATCTTGACTCATCCCTAAGGAGCCTCTTGGAGCATCCCGAGGGATGGCATTCCACAGCCTCCTCCAGAGGGCCTGGCCATCTCTCATCACATCCAGCTAAAGCAGGGAGTTTCTTTTATCTGGAGAGCTCCTGGTGCGTAAGAAGAAATCACTGCATGAAAGGAGAAGGGCGTGTGTGAGGGCAGGGGGTGGGGGTGGGGGGGATAGACCTATGAGAAAGAGACATTTGAAGTTAAGAAGAGGGGCGGCGGACAGAGACCAAAGGTCTTCAGAAGCCTGTGAACTGTGCTGCCTTCCGGGGCACAGGTGCTATTTAAAATCCAAGCTATCATTATGACTACAAAGCTATTTACTTATTTCAGTGTCATTATTTAATGCGGTGAATCAAGCACTTTATGACTTGAAGTAACTTCAAAAATAAAACTTGGCTTGCCCCTGTCATTGAAGAAGGGTTCAGAGTTCATCTCTGTTTAATAGATCAAGGTGGCAAATGGCATTTTCTTCTCCAAAGGAAATGTTTAGAGGGCTCTGGGAGTGGGGGCTGAGTCTTTGGCCTGAGAAACAGGAATTTGGGCTTGGTGCCCAGCTCTTCTTCCTGACCCTATCTGTGACCCTTAGAAGTCACATAAACCTTGGACACTCAGATTCTCTTTCTGAAAGAACCACTGCTTGCCTCCCTGGGCACGTTGGATGATTAATAATGACACAGTGTTAGCAAAGTTTCTTTGAGGTATTTGGATGAAAGACAACCTATAAAGCCTGCTGAAGATTTACTGTCTTATTAAAGGAATAGCTGCATATAGTACTCTGCTAATAAATGTTGACAAAGGTAAACATTCTTCATCTGTCCTAGCAAGAACAGGCTATTCATCTATTTGCAAGTACAATGAGAGAGGGTGTGTCCCAAGGTCATAAAAATTTCTATTATGATTGCCCAGAAACATATTTTGATTTTTTACTTTTTAAAAATATTTTTTATCTTTTCTTCAAATTTAATTTATATTAATATTTTAATTTTTCTTTGTTTTTTTTTTTTTTACCCTCTCAGACCCTGCTTTCTGGAGAACAGAAACATATTTTGGATCTATATCCACATTGTCACCTGGAATGATAACTAATGGAGTAGATATCTAGACTTACATAACCAATAATGAATAAAACAGACATGTAGCATAGCTCTGTCCCTTGACTTGGATATAAAAAGAATGACAAGGGCCAGGCGCGGTGGCTCACACTTGTAATCCTAATCCTAGCACTCTGGGAGTCCAGGGCAGGAGGATTGCTTGAGCTCAGGAGTTCAAGACCAGCCTGAGCAAAAGTGAGACCCACCCATTGCTACCAAAAAGAAAGGTAAAAAAACCCAGCCAGGTGTTGTGGTGCATGCCGGTAGTTCCAGCTACCCAGGAGGCTGAGGCAGGAGGATCACTTAGAGCCCAGGAGTTAGAGGTTGCAGTGAGCTACAATGATGCCACGGCACTCTACCCAAGGCAAAAGAGTGAGACTCTGTCTCATCAAAAACAAACAAGGCAACTGAACACCCCTCCTCACAGCCCCCCACCTTAAAAAAAGGGGGGGGGATAACAAGGACTGCTACCCAAAAAGTTAAAATCAGAATTCTGGTAAAACAAGAAAAGGCTGTACGAGGAATACGGAGCATGTGGGCAGATGGACTTTGCTGGGCGTCCTGACAAGTTATGAGGGACAGGAAGGCACATGCTTGGCAGATTAGGGGTGCTATAGTGAGATTTTAGAGCTTCTCTTAACTTCTAATAAGTGAATTTACCAAAGAAAAAGGAAGGAACTGCTCAGTGTCTGAAAATGGAGTGGAAGCTGATAAAAAGAGTTGCAAGCTGTACCTGATATTTTGGCTGTCCTTCGGGGCAGGGTTGTCAATTTGGGGTTTCATTGCTCATTCAAGAACAGGAACAAGGCATTAAACCAAGATGCCTGTGCAAAGCCAACACCTTTGAAGGGCACATCTGGAAAAAATCTGCTCACCTGTAAGGGCTTTTGGTGGGAAAAAATATGTTTCTTCTGAGAATATATAACAAGCATCCAATTATAACTACAGGTTTATACCCACACATATAAGCCTTTGAGGTTCAAATTTATGCTGCCTGAGTCGGGGGTTATCCCCAATTGTTCCCCGTAGGAAATGTCCTGAGCTGATAACAAGGCCGTCAGAAGCAAATACAAAAACCTTTTTGAAGAGGCAGTCTTAACCCAAGCTGGATAAAAATCCTACGGTGAAACTCTATCAAACATCAACCTACAATACAAAATTATGAAATAATCTCACAGGCAACAGCAGAAATAAACAAATAAATAAAGCAGCAACCACAAAAGCAGCAGAATTAGATCCCCAGGTTAGTAATTTTTACTGCAATGGTGGGACCTGGGCCTGTCTTCTTTTTTTTTTAATTGAGGTGGAAATATACATATATAATTTACCATCTTTAACCATTTTTAAGTGTAGAGTTCAGTGGTAATAAATACATTCATATTCTTTTTATCCTTCATCCCTCACTCCTCCCTACCCGTTCCAGCCTCTGGTAAGCAGCATTCTACTCTCTGTCTTCATGAGATTCACTTTTTTAGCTCTTGTATATGAGTGAGAAGTTGCAATATTTGTCCTTCTGTGCTTGGCTTATTTCACTTAACATAATGGTCTCCAGTCCCATCCATGTTGCTGCAAATGACAGGACTTCATGCTTTTTTATGGCTGAATAATTACACATTTTCTTCATCCATCCATCCATTGATGGGCACTTAGATTGGTTTCATATTTTGGTTATTGTGAGTAATAACGCAATAACCATGGGAATGCAGGTATCTCTTCAATATATTGATTTTCTTTTGTTTGGATATATATCCAGTAGTGGGATTGCTGGATCATATGGTAGTTATACTTTTAGTTTTTTGAGGAATCTTTGTACTGTTCTCCATAGTGGTTATACTAATTTATCTTCCCACCAAAAGTGCATGAGGGTTCTACTCCCTCCACATCCTCACCAGCATCTGTTATTTCCTGTCATTTTATTTCAAGCCATTTTAACTGGTGTGAGATGATATCTCATTATGGTTTTGATTTGCATTTCTCTGATGATTGGTGATGTTGAACATTTTTTTCTTGTGCCTGTTGGCCGTTTGTATGTCTTCTTTTGAGAAATATCTGTTCAGATCTTTTGCCCATTTTTGATTGGATTGTTATTATTAACCAGGCTTGTTTTCAAGGAGTATCCAGCTGGGCTGGGGAACAGTTCATTAACAGTATAAGGCAATACAGGCAAGTCCCGATTTAAGAATGGCTGATGCTCCACAAGGTAATTTGAATATGTTGTTCAGCTGTCAGAATTCCTTAGAAATGTCATTTTCCTTAGAAAACAATGTTTTACCCAGTAGATCACAAAAGCTTTTGGAATTCACAAGTCAAAACCTCTTGAGGACACAGAGACACAGTTTCTAGCCCAAGGCTGTGCTCAGTAATCATTGGCTAGGTGAATTCATAAACGAATGAATGGGGCAGCTAGACCTGCCCAAGTTCCAGCACTGCAGAGCATGCGGACAAGGGGTGCGGAAGGAGGAGAAACAAATTTTATTGTCTTTCTAACGCACAAACCCAGTTGTCTGAAAAGCTTATAAACAGGTGCACTTTACATCAGACACTCTTCCACCTCCCCTCTTGGAGATTTCCAAACGAGGAAGATGAGGCCTTATCCCGGGCTGTCCTACTTCCCAGTATCCCTGCTCTGAATGCCCATCTCCTCAGTGCTGGGGCTCGTGGCTCCCTGTCACCGGAAAGCAGTCAGAGTGGGGAGCAGGGTAAGGCGTGAACAGCCTGCTCCCCAGTTGTCTGCAGCTTAAAGGACGCTCGTTTCCCTAAACGAGTCTCCACTTTGTGTGACAGAGTGACACGGATGCATTGCAGCTATGTGGTCAGCATGACCGGAACTGAGAACCCTTGCCCGGGCCTACCTTCCCGAGAGTCCACCCCCAAAGTCGCCTTCATTCACTCCCTCGTTCACTCCGCAGACGTTCACTGAGTGCCCCGGAGGCGCAGGCATGAACAACACTGACAGCCATGCTCCCGCGGAGTGTTCATTTTAGGAGAGGAGGTAGGTAATAAACACAAATACATGGACAAGATAAAATGCAGAGCGACGTGTGCTATTTTAAAAAAACAAAACAAAATAGGAAGATGTGCAAGAGAACAGCCCTGCCTTCCTCTCATCTTTTAAAAAATATTTTGTTCAAGCTTGGATTAATTGTTCTTTATGCTCCGCCTGTGGTTTTTTTTTTTTTAATTTCGGCATATTATGGGGGCACAAATTTTAAGGTTTCAATAAATGCCCTTTTGCCCCCCCCCCTACTGCCCGTGTTTTCAGCTTCCCTACCACCTCTGTTAAACCCACTGTTTTTCCCCAAAGCTTCTGGTTTTTGTGAGCCGCCTGTCTTGGTAGCTAAGTCTCTCTTAGGGACGGAGGGGGGCTGGGAAGGAGGGGGAGTGCGTACACAGAGGTGTCAAAATATTTGCAGAACTGTCTTAACCTGCGAGGACAGCTGCCACCAGGCTCTGTAATTCCTTAACGGCTCACTCGCACTCGCCCCAGCGGAGCTCTTTCTCTGGGAGTTCCACGGTTCTGCTTATCAGTGGGCTCATCTCTGCCTCCCTATCAATTTCAACACAGAAAGGGACGCTCTCCCACACGTAACCTTTGGAAACAAAGGCAGCGCTTGAGCCCTGATCAAGGCGATGATTAAGCAGTCGCAAAGAAAACGTGAGCCTGCATTCACCCCTGCCGCCAGCAGCCGGGGCTGCTTCCTGGAGCCTGTTGACAAAGGAACTTGAGAAGGCGAAAACCCTTTAAATAACAAGAGGACGCTGTGGAGTGCGGGGAGAACCACGTGATGCTGGTGACGGATGAGTGGGTCCCTCTCCACTGAGTGCGGCCGGCCAGCCGGTCAATTAGAGAGAGCTTAATCTGCCCGCAGATGCCCCCGCTCCAGCTGCGGGAAGAGAGCTGGGAGCCGCCTGCCCCCGTCCCAGGGCTGTTGTGGAGGAGCCACCTGGCCTGCGCTCAGCCTTCCAGACACTGCAGGAGTGATCGCGCTCCGTCCTGGAGCTGCTGGAGCTCTCTCGGCTGCCATCTGAGCCGCTTCCCTCTTGTCCTGGTCTCAATACCCCACAGAGCTTCTCAACATCGTGGAAGAAAATGTCTTTCACACTTGAAAGCTCATAGTGAGGAGAGCTTAAACTTTCTCCCTGTGCAGAAAAGAAAAAAAAAATCCTTTTTAAAAAGGTTTTCCTCATCAAACACAATGATGTGTTCATTGCAGGTCTTGTCCTGTCTATCTTCAGGATAAAAGCACCAACAAATCAGTGTCCCACAGTTTTTCTGCCCATTTGATTCCCTGCACTGTTCGCCTCTCTTCTGCCCCCACCGTTCCTGCCCATACTCGCAGCATCTCCCCCTAGTGCAATAAGCCTCCCAGCAAGTATCCATTTCAATGGTTTTATTTCTCTTTTTTAAAAGTCTACCCTCTTCATGGCCTTGGCCCATTATTGTTATTGTTTAGCAGCTCCTTATTACTCACAGTGTAGGGTCCAAACATCTTAACATGACGTAAACAACACCCCATCATCGGGCCCCTGCAGCCTGTCTACCCATCTCTTTCCGCCTCTTGCATGTACCCTTCTCACAGCTGAAGCACATTTTTAAAGAAGCTCAACTGCTGAACCGCAGCCTGTAGCTGCTGCACATGTTATGCCCTTTATTCTTCTTTCCCGGTGAACTCCTACTCATCCCTCAAGGCTCAGATTAGAAACTGAGAAAGACATTAGTCCTCTGAGATTGTGTTGCTATTGTAATATCTATATTAAAATATATTGTAATATTATATTACTTATCTATTCCTGCATAATGAATTGCCTAAAAACTTAGTGGTTTAATATAACAAACATTTCTGTGGGTCAGGAATTAGGGAGTGGTTTAGTTCTGGCTTACAGTATTCCATGAGGTCATGGGCAGATTATGGCAAGGACTGCAGTTATCTGAAGGCTTGGCTGGTGCTGGAGGATCAACTTCCAAGCTCACTAATGCATCTTAGCAGGAGACCTCAGCTCCTCCCCAGCTGGGCCTTCCCCAGAGCGAGCGATCCAAGAGAGAGGGGCAGAAACTATGTCTTTTATCTAGATTTGGAAGTGCCATACTATCACTTCTACCATATTCTATTGGTCATACAAACAACAGGGTAGGGTACCACGTGGGGTGAATACTAGGAGGCCAGGATCGACAGTCAACACTCACAAGACCCAGGTTCAAATCCTGGTTCCACTGCTTGTTTGCTGTGTTACCATAGGTAAGTCAATCTCTCTGAGCCCTGATTTCTGCATCTATAAAATCTGGATGATAGGATTGACTTTATGGGTCCATGTTGGACCTAAAAAGATGACTTACATATTAAACACTTACTATTTACTAGTGTTAGTAAATGTGAGCTATTATCATGGTAATCTCAGTTCACAGCCTACTCAGCCAGTGGCCCTGGTGGTCCTTCCAAATAGTCCTGCAGTGCTCTTGCCTGGCCTCTCTGTCTGGGTACCCACTCTCGGGGTCAGGCATGTTTAGACCTTCATATGTAGGCGTCTCTGCCCATCCCCTCCGTGAACTGCTTTAGTTTGAACAATCTCAGGCTTCTCTAACAATATTAAGCTTCAATTCCATTCCTCTAGATCCCACAGTTGTGAGATCACATTTGCATCCTTAGATTAAAACTCCAAGTTTAGCTTGTTAGTTCCATCCCAGGTGTGGCCTCAGACCTCAGGGCCTCTCCCTTGTTGCAATTATTCTTATGTCATTTTTATTCATTTATCAGCCATCAGTGGTTGCTCCTTGCTAAGGCCCCCAGGCTTGGTTCTAGCAATGCCGAGATAGAGAAGACGGGGATATAGCCCTTTAGAACCTCAGTGCTATCTCATACCATCATTATCGAGGTTTCTTTGGCTATGTTTTTCTTCTCATCCTTGCTTCAGTTGCAGTTTTATTATTCACCACCACAAATTCTTGAGCATTAGCTTCCCACCAGACTCTAGATTCATGTCAGACTCTGCCATTCCTGCAAAGTGGGTGTTACTATGCCCCTTCTCCACCTTGGAGACAGAGGGCTCCTTATTACAGAACTGTCACACTCCAGAGCTTGAGTTCTTTCCAAAATGACAAGTTGCCAACTTAAAGATTTTTTTCAAAATTTTAGTTCTATTTCTAAAATGCGATCACCTTAATGCAGATCGGCATATCACTGCCAGCCATGTCTATGGTCCTTGGGAGACACGCATGCCCATCTGCAGGTGTTCGTCCAGGGGGCTAGCGGGACCCTTCAGATCCTCTGTTTCCACAGCAACCATGCAGCCAGCCATTCACTCCCTGTTCCGAAGAAGAAACGAGCATACTAATTGGGATCCTAAACCCTTCAGTTTTCTACCTAGGACTTCGAAGTTACAAGAACGTCCTTCCATATCTCTTTTGCCTGAATTCTGCTTTCATGAGTTGGTCCCCACCCCCACCCCAAGCCCACTGTGCCTTTCTTTGCCCTGCTCTGGTCCCACCCCTCTGGGAAGTAGCCACTCAGCTCTTTGCCCTTTGGGTTCAGACACAGGGAGTCACTGGCTGGAGATCAAAGGGCAGCAGGAGAAGGAGGCTGGAGTGTTTCTTTCCTCCTTCCTCTCAGCTTCCTTGCTGTGCCTCTGGCAATAGTCATGTCCCTTGGGCAGTAGCTCCTGCCAGGGTGCGAGGGAGGGAGGTACCTCCTCTGAGTTTCTAGCTCTTGCTTGGCCCAGAAACACGATTTCCCCCCTTGCCTTGTCCTTCCAGGCCCAAGGGTGCTAATGCCTTCCAGCTGATGCAAATTATGCCCCATACTAGGCTATTGTCTCCCTCCATGAACTTGCAAAATACATTATTGACTGTCATGGTTTTCTCAACACTAAGTGAGGCAATGGGCCTCACCCATACCCATGGGATCCACTGTCCTTATCTTGTGAGAAGCAGCAGGCCAGATGGAATGGTGAGACAGAACAGCCCACTGAAGACCTATTCATGGCACCGGATGGGGACAGCACCATTGAAGTTTAGGATTCTATTTTACAGGATGCAGTATATACTTTGAATCAGCCACCAGTATATGTTGCTGTTTTACCCACAGACAAAACGCACAGGTCTAAGTATCAAGGGGTAGAGTCCTCTCACTTATGCACCTAATAACTCACTCCCAGAACTTTATGCTGAGGTTTTAGGGGTCTGAGGACCTAAGCAAAGAATGTTTCCACCGGGGGACACAACAGGTTCCACTAAATTGAACCAATATGGGCTCCTCAAGCCACTATACTAAAAGGCAAAGAAGGGGCCGGGCGCTGTGGCTCACGCCTGTAATCCTAGCTCTTGGGAGGCCGAGGCGGGCGGATTGCTCAAGGTCAGGAGTTCAAAACCAGCCTGAGCAAGAGTGAGACCCCGTCTCTACTATAAATAGAAAGAAATTAATTGGTCAACTGATATATATATAAAAAATTAGCCGGGCATGGTGGCGCATGCCTGTAGTCCCAGCTACCCGGGAGGCTGAGGCAGAAGGATCGCTCGAGCCCAGGAGTTTGAGGTTGCTGTGAGCTAGGCTGACGCCACGGCACTCACTCTAGCCTGGGCAACAAAGCGAGACTCTGTCTCAAAAAAAAAAAAAAAAAAAGGCAAAGAAGGAAGTCACTCTACTGGCTGGGGTGGTTGGTTCTGATTACCGAGAAGAAATCGGATTCCTGCCGTACAATGAGGGCATGGAAGACTGTCTGGAACCCAGGGGATTCTTGGGAGCACCTCCTAGTGCTACCACATCCTATAGTGATACTTAAGGAAAAACAGGCAGAACCATTGAAGGTTCGGACCCTTTTGAAATGAAAGCTGTGCTCATTCTACCAGGTAATGAATCAACACCAGCCAATGTCCTGCTGAGGGTACAGGAAGGAGATGTGGAAAGAGTAGTGGAGGAAGTAAGTTACAAATATCAACTCTGCTTGGTGCTCAGTTACAGAAACGAGGACTGTAACAACTATGCATGGTTTCTTCCTTACGTGTTATTTAAAGATGTATAATTACACAAATACTCGTTTCTTTTTGCTATTTCTTCCTTCCCTTATAATTTACAATTTATATAAGTATTGGTGGTGTTTAAGCTAACTTTAAAATCTAGTCTTTAGTGGTGTGAGACCCCAAAAGCCAAATGAAGAAAGTTTTGAGGAAGATGGATGGTCAACTGTGTTACAGGTCCTTTCTTCATTCCTACACGTGCCTAAGGGCTCAAGAACCCCTTGTCTGGGGAGCCTCTTTGATATCCTCTGACTAGCGACTTTACTAGCCAACCAAAGCTACCATTAACTGAGGACTTTCTTAAGTACTTTGCAGACATTCTCTCAGTCAGTAGAGCCCTCTTACTTTATCTGAGATAGAAATTGTGACTCCAATTTGCACATTCAAAGAACTGAGGTTTAAAGGCTGGGCATGGTGGCTCATGCCTGTAATCTTTGCACTCTGGGAGGCTGAGGTGGGAGGCTCGCTTGGGCCTAGGACTTCAAGACCAGCTTGAGCAAGAACAAGACACTGTCTCTATTAAAAATAGAAATATTAGCTGGGCATGGTGGTGTACACCAGTAGTCCCAGCCACTCGGGAGACTGAGGCAAGAGGATCACTTGAGTCCAGGAGTTTGAGGTTGCAGTGAGCTATGATGATGCCACAGGACTCTAGCCCAGGTGACACAGAAAGACTCTGTCTCAAAAAATAAGTAAATAAATAAATAGAACTGAGGCTTAGAATGTTGACATCACATACTCAAGTTCTCTGTCTGTGATGTTCTGTGATCTAAACCAGGTCTATTTGATCCAATGTCCTGTTTTTCATTGCCCCTGTACTTGATTTGTTTCTTCTTTTTCACTAAGATAAATACTATTGATATGAATACCTTATAAAAATATAAAAGGAAATTTAGTCTTTAGGTTACAGAATAGTCAAGTGGGACTGATAGTGACATCACCGGAAAGAGATGCTGTGACTGTTGTCCAGAAAGAGACACTGTTACTTTTCAGATTTTGTGTCTTTCCTCTGTGGGAGAGGTAAGAGGGTCTTATCTGTACAAAGGATAGTAGCATGTTGTTAGGCAGAGGCACAACTGTATCATTGCATGGAAGTTCAAGTGTGTGTAGAAGGGGGTATATGAACCATGAG